CATATATTAGTCATACTAACCATGTTGGTCACTCTCACATATTGGTCATGCTGGTCATGTCTCATATATTAGTCATACTAACCATGTTGGTCACTCTCACATATTGGTCATGCTGGTCATGTTCCATATATTAGTCATACTAACCATGTTGGTCACTCTCACATATTGGTCATGCTGGTCATGTCCCATATATTAGTCATACTAACCATGTTGGTCACTCTCACATATTGGTCATGCTGGTCATGTTCCATATATTAGTCATACTAACCATGCTGGTCACTCTCACATATTGGTCATGCTGGTTATGTCATGGTTAGTATTAGTCATACTAACCATGTTGGTCACTCTCACATATTAGTCATGTTGGTCACATCTCATATATTGGTCATGCTGGTCACGTCTCACATATTAGTCATGCTAACAATGTTGGTCAAGCCTCACATATTAGTCATACTAACCATGTTGGCTACGTCTCATATATTGGTCATGTTAGTCACATCCCATATATTGGTCATACTAACCATGATCTTTTGCTGCTCCAAATCTCTCTCTTGCTGCAGACGCTTCTTGCTACCAGGCGGAGCAGTAAGCCCGGGAGTTGCAGCAGCAGCAACAGGCTGCTGCTGCTGCTGCACGCTGCTGCTGCTGCTGCTGTTGCTTGAAAAGCTGCTGAACGACTGCTCCATGCTGCTGTTTTGCTGTTCATAAAAATATTAATGTGCATTCTAAAATTATTCTAGTAATAATATAAAAATAGTTATAAAATAAAATAACAATATAATAATAATAATAATAATAATAATAATAAAATAATATTAATAAAATAAAAATTATTTTTTCACTATAAAGGAGGAAAAAGAAAATTATCGTCGTATAATGCAATGGAGAATGCGCATAAATGGGCTGAAGATATATTTAAATAACATTTACTTCGCGCACATGTAAACTTATATTGCAATCTTGAACAGCGTGGTTTCTTCAATTGAAATACGAACCTCGTCGTTCAAGTGTGAAAAAATCAATAACCTTTTATGGGCCAAGTGTGAATAATAGCTTAATGGCATAAATAAAAAAGTATAACTCAGTACTCACTGCAGTGAGTGACAGAGAGCGCATTTTCTCGTCGACGAAAACGTGAAGTCACCACGGACGGACAGACAGACGGACGGACGCTAAAAATCAATAAACGGTAATGGGCATAAATAAATGGCCTTGTGGCCATATAAATGTCCTTGTGGCCATATAAATGGCCTTGTGGTCATATTCTTATTTTTCCGACGTCATTTGCCTGGTGGATAAGAAAGGTTCTTGACTCACCACGACGCCATTAATACGCATAAATATAAAGTCGTATTCCTATTTCTCCGAAGTCATTTGCCTGGGGCCATACTTTCAAAACTCGCTAAGTGAACGTAAGTACTTACGCTCTATTTTCTTGTCTATGATTGGTGGATTTTGCTTGAAAGGCCGTCAATGATTGGCTGATGAACTTACGATCTATTAACTTTTCTTGAAAGTAAAGGCCCTGGTATGATAAGAACGGTAGTTGACTTACCACAACGCCATTAATACGCATATATATAAACTCGTATTCTCATTTTTCCGACGTCATTCGCCGGGATAAGAACGGTTCTTGACTTACCACGACGCTGTGCTGGTAGGCGCTGGTCTTCTGAACGTTCGTCTCATCCACAATAAACTTGTCCATCCGCTTCTTGCGCTTGGCGAAGAGTGCCGCTCCTGAAGTCGGAATATTCAGTATTTAATGCGCAAATTTCCGTCTAAAATTTCAGGTACGCTTGTATTTGATAGGCTATCATGATATTTCAAAATACTTTAATAACTGTGAATTAATTATTATTACGTATTATTAATAATTAGTATTAGTAATAATTATTCAATTATTATGTGAATGAAGTTGCCATCATAATGAACAATATGCGGAATATTCAGTATTTAATGGGAAAATTTCTGTCTAGAATTGCAGTTATGCCTGTATTTGGCAGACTAACTTCGCTATATAATCCTGCAGGTATGGAATGTTAAAGAAAAGATGCAACAGGTATGTTATGTTGAAAATAAGTACCCCGGGATGACAAGCTTAAGTAAAGACATAGCTTGCCTGTATGGCAACGAGATAAGTCATTGTGGTAACCCGTTGTACAGTGTGTTCTCAGTTCGTAATAAAGCTCTGCCCACTACGGTGTCACCTCACTTGGCCCTTTAAACCTTAAACCTCGGTCACATCAGTTATGTTATGTTGAAAATAAATACCCCGGGATGACAAGCTTAAGAAAAGACATAGCAGGTATGTTTTCTTGAAAATAGGTACAGCGGGATGATATGCTTAAGAAAAGACACAGCCGGTATGTTATGTTGAAAATAAGTACAGCGCGATGAAATGTTGAAGAAAAGATACAGCAGGTATTGTTGAAAATAAGTTCAGTGGATATGATATGCCGAAGACGAGATACAGCAGGCATTGTAAAAATATGTACAGAGGGTATGGCATGTTGAAAATAAGTACATCAGATATGGTATGTTAAAACTAAGATGCAATAGTTATGTTATTTAAATCTAGAATACAGCAAATATAGTATTCCTAAAATAAGCGTAGTAGGTCTGTAGCAGGTATGTCGAGAACGTGATTCAGCTGGTACAAAATTTTGAAAACAGATGATAGGATTGTTCTGGTTTTAAGGGAGAACGTTTTCATCATCTGAAGGGAAGTGTACCTTATTATGTCATGTACAAAATAGGTACAGCGGGATGACATGCTTAATCGCTTATTTGCATGCACCCTGAGATGCTGATTTGCTTGAAAGCCCGCTACCGTTATATCCGTTTGAGTTAATAACGCCTGAAAACGCGTCTCGAATTTTTTTTTAAAGAAAGGATTCACAGCAGGTATGTTGAAAATAAGTTCTGTGGATATGATATGCCCTAGACGAGATACAGCAGGCATTGTAAAAATATGTACAGAGGGTATGGCATGTTGAGAATAAGTACATCAGATATGGTATAAGTGTAGTAATTCTGTAGCAGGTATGTCGAGAATGTGATTCAGCTGGTACAAAATTTTGAAAACAGATGATAGGATTGTTCTGGTTTTAAGGGAGAACGTTTTCATCATCTGAAGGGAAGTGTACCTTAGATGATGAGTTTTTAGTTTATGGAAAACAATTCTTTAAACAGTCGAGTACTTTGAAAGTTCAACTGATATTTAGTGTATCTGTGTTTTCGACCATTAAATCTTAACGAAATTTTACAAACTTTGTTCGCAATTATGCAATCAGTTTTTTTGCATGTAAAACCTTTCACCTGTAGGACTCTGCGTATCGTTGATGAATGATGATATCCTTGCCTATCTCAGGACCAAGTGATATGTGAAGGTAGGATGTCTCACCTTTGCCTGTAGGACTCTGGGTGTCGTTGATATAAGATGACTAACCTTTGCCTGTAGGACTCTGCATGTCGTTGATGATATCCTTGGCTATCTCAGGACTGGGTGGGATGTGCACTGAAGGACCAAAGTGGGCGGGGAAGCTGCTGGAGGAGGTGGTTGACTCCTGTAGGAGTTGCTCGTAGTGCTGCTCGACTGTCCTGTGATCCTGGACTCCCTTGGGGTTCATCACTAATTTCATCGCAGGTTTCGACTGCCCATGGAAATTTTCAAAATTTCAAATTCTAATTTAATTTACGACGCAGAGTTTAAGTTAAATTAAGGAAGGACATTATTCTGATATCGTTATTATTGATAACCAATTCGTTGACGTGAATTATCGGATAAATAAATTAGTTCAGCGAAGGGAATAAAAGTAAAATTGTGTACAAATTTCTGCGACATTATCGTAAAAAATCTAATAGAATTTATGAAACAAGTTCTGTTTTTAGCAGCAATTTGTTAGAAGATAAATACAGCCTCTGTTATACAGTTATCAAATTGGGAAAATAAAAATATATGAAATTTCGCAGGTTGAAATAAATAATTTACTCACGTTGAGGTGAAAGCAGGAAATAATGAATAATTTATTTAAACGATATGCTCGTTTAATTTCCAGACGCAATGAAAATACGCCAAGCAGGGTACGAAATATGCGGACATAGAAGTAGAATGCGATAGAACTAAAATGTTTTAAAGTGAACTGAGTTATAAAAAATGAGTTGAGAGTAAAATAAGTTTACAGTAAACTGCGTTTAAAGTTCTAAGAAGTATAAGTAAAATAAGTTGAAGTAAAATAGGTTTACTTAAACCGTTAATTGCGAGTATTTATTCCGGAGGATAAAAAAATCAAATTGAAGTCTCTTTCATCGGCTAATTGCCCAACGAACATTAAATCACTGGCACGAAAGCAAAGCATTCGTGCAACACGCAACCTTAACTAAACTTAGATAAAATTTTAATTAATAACTTTTCCTTAATTAAGAAATATAGTCTTTAGAATTAAATATACACCAATTGTAAAATGATGATACCAACGATTAATGCACAATTGTTCCACGTTCAAACCATTCTAGTCGTTTCAGTTCGATCCAACTGATCGGGTTGATTTAAATAATTTACTCACGTTGAGGTGAAAGCAGGAAAAGACGAAGAATTTATTTAAACGGAACTCGCGTTTTGTTTCCAGACACAAGGAAACTAAATCAAGCAGTATACGAAGTAAACGGACATAAAAGAGATACGAAACATACGGATATGAAAGGGATACGGAATATACGGACATAAAACATGAAATATACGGACATAAAAGAGATACGAAATATACGGACGAAAAAAGGATACGAAATATACGGATATAAAAAGAAATACGAAATAGACGGACATGAAAGTAAAATGAGATGGAAGCAAAATGATTTTAAAGTAAACTGAGTTTAAAGAAAAGTTAGCTTAAAGTAAAATAAGCTTAAAGTAAACTGAGTTTACAATAAAATGAAGTAAAAGTAAAATGAGGTGGAAGTGAAATTTCATTAAACGCGTTAATTACGAACCTTTATTACGCTGGATAACAACACCAAATTAAAGACTCTTTCATCGGCTAATTGCCCAACGAATATTAAATCACTGGCACGAAAGCAAAGCGTTCATGCGACACGCAACCTTAACTAAACTTAGATAAAGTTTTAATTAGTAAGTTATCCTTTAGAAACATGATATTTTTTAGAATTTAAATATACACCAATTGGAAAATGATGATACAAGCGATTAATGCATAATTGTTTCACGTTTCAAACCCTTCTAGTCGTTTCAGTTCGATTCACTGATCGGGTTGATCACAAAGGGAGACTGAAATATTTTTAACCGCCATTGTTCTTCCTTCAAACATCCATCACATTCTTCACGGCCATTAAGACAGATTGCGTGACTTTCAGTCACGATATGGCAGATGATAACTATCGAAAAATGGCTCAAACANAACCAGAACCAGTGTAAAATTTTAGTTGAAATTTTAATAAAGCAAAACAGCTGAAAAATGGAAAATGAAACATGCTTACTATCAATAAAAAATGCCTAACAAAGACAACACTATCGACAGTGAGGTCTAGATTTTCTTTAACTTATTCGCACCTTAAATCGAAATTCGTACCAAAATTCAAACATTAAACTAGACTTGAATTTACTTCGTACCTTCGGTGCAGAATCGTTCACGCTGACCGTCTCCGATGAGTGCGCTGGAAAAGTGAATAGTTATTTCATTAATTAAGCGATCTATTAACAGGATAATACAAAAAAAAATAAAATTATCATAATTGGTCGTAATCGTAACACCTGATGATATTTATTTACTTTAATAATGATTAACCTGACGAGTGACGGCTGATTCAATATTTGTAGGCTAAATTATAGTACATAAACTTGCTAAAAATATCAGAAATTCTAAATTTTAGTTCGGTTAATTTTAAAAATTGGGCGAATATTGCTTCATATGGTGAAAAATTATGCGTTGGGCATTGCAATGAATCACTACTATTTTATTTAACGATTTCTTTTTTATTTTCCCGACGTTTAAGTATAATTAGCGAGCGCACTTAGGAAATGTGATATGCAGGCTCTTCTTTATAATAAATACTGAATGGATTAAATATTCATGCGCTTAACAATTATGCAATGTTGCAATATAATTAAAAACNTTCGCACGCGCCTTAGAAATATCCACGTAAAAAAACGCCCCCACGCACCTTAGAAATATTCGGGTGAAAAAAACACCCCCACGCACCTTAGAAATATTCGGGTGAAAAAAAAAACACCCGCACGCACCTTAGAGATATCCACGTAAAAAACTCACCCGCACGCACCTTAGAAATATCCATGTGAAAAAAATCACCCCCACCCACCTTAAAAATATTCGCATGAAAAACTCATCCGCTCGCTCCTTAGAAATATCCGCGTGAAAAAACTCAACCGCGCACACCTTAGAAATATGCGCGTGAAAAAACTCAACCGCGCGCACCTTAGAAATATGCGCGTGAAAAAACTCAACCGCGTGCACCTTAGAAATATCCACGTAAAAACACCCTCACGCACTTTAGAAATATCCTCGTGAAAAAACACCCGCACGCACCTTGGGAATATCCGCGTAAAAAAAACATCCGCTCGCTCCTTAGAAATATGCGCGCGAAAAAACTCAACCGCGCGCACCTTAGAAATATCCACGTGAAAAAAACTCAACCGCGCGCACCTTAAAAATATCCACGTGAAAACTTATCATCCTTTAAGTAAGTACTGAAATAATCATCCCATTATCACATTCTTGTGTACCTGAATAATTATCCAATTTTCATATTAGTATTAAATAAAATAATTTCTTAATCATAAATTAGTAAATACGAAAATAAATATATTGTTCTGATATTTATGGTATGTACGAGATTCATTATCTTATTCCCGCATTATTATATACGAGAATAATTATTCAATGTTCATATTAATATAAAGAAAATAAATTCCTATTCGTAAATCAGTACTACAAAAATGATTAATTAATTACTATGAGAATTATTAATTAATATAAAGTGATTATTATCTTAGTCAGATATTAATACTCATTAGAATACTTATCTCAGCCTCACGAGTATATTAGAGAATAATTTCTTATTCGTAAATTAAGAAAAATGGAAATAATTAAGTTTAAAGAAATTAAGGTTATACGAGGAGCCACATTATTAAGCGAGGCTACCTTTTTATAAAGCGAACTAATTTGTTAATTAACAATCATGAAACAACCCTAAAAGTTTTGATACCGGCGAAAAACAGATACAGCAACCAACGTTTATATCTCTTCATGGACTTGTATTAAGATATTACAAATACAACTGTAAATTTCAATGGAGTTAATCATTGTTCAAAATAAGACGAAATAATTGTAGTTCTTCCCTCTGTTTTCAGAGGGTCGCTATAACTGCACCCCTCCCTCTGTTTTCAGAGGGTCAATAGAAAGGGTTGGCTGCAGTATGCGGAAGAGATTAAATGGAAGTTGTATTTATAGAGTGAGGGGAGTAGAGTGAGGGGAGTAGAGTGAGGGGAGTAGAGTGAGGGGAGTAGAGTGAGGGGAGTAGAGTGAGGGGAGTCCTCCCTGACACACCTTTTAACCCACATTTGACCCACATTTTGACCCACATTTGACCCACCTTTAGACCCACATTTCGACCCACTTTTGACCCACCTTTCGACCCACATTTGACCCACCTTTTCCGCCGCTCAGCAGCCCTTCACACTCAAGGGTCAAAGAGGCGGCCTCTTCAATGAACTGCAGGCTGACCCACCTTTTGACTCACATTTCGACCCACTTTTGACCCACCTTTTGACCCACATTTGACCCACCTTTTCCCCCGCTCAGCAGCCCTTCACACTCAAGGGACACTGAGGCGGCCTCCTCAATGAACTGCAGGCTGACCCACCTTTTGACCCACCTTTTGACCCACATTTAGACCCACATTTGACCCACCTTTAGACCCACCTTTAGACCCACGTTTAGACCCACCTTTAGACCCACATTTGACCCACCTTTAGACCCTCATTTCGACCCACTTTTGACCCACCTTTAGACCCACATTTTTGACCCACCATTAGACCCACCTTTTGACCCACCTTTTGACCCACCTTTTGACCCACCTTTTAACCCACTTTTTGACCCACTTTTTGACCCACCTTTTGACCCACCTTTTCCCCCCCATAGCAGCCCTTCACACTGAAGGGTTACTGAGGCGGCCTCTTCAATGAACTGCAGGCTGACCCACCTTTAGACCCACTTTTTGACCCACTTTTAACCCACATTTGACCCACCTTTTCCGCCGCTCAGCAGCCCTTCACACTCAAGGGACACTGAGGCGGCCTCTTCAATGAACTGCAGGCTGGGCTTGGGCGGCTGCAAGCCCACGCACGGCACCCAGCCCGCGCGCAACGCCATCTTGGGCTTGCGGTTCCTCACACTAATAAACTAATTTTATTTTTCTTCAGGTAATTCGGAAATTTTTCGAAAAATTTGTGTTCGATTTTTAGTTCAATGCAAACTGAGAATATTTTTCCTCATACAAATAAACAATTTTTTTCTTCCAGGTAATTCGGAAAATTTTCGAAAAATTTTGCAATCGGTTTATAGTTCAATGCGAACTGAGAATATTTTTCCTGACACAAATAAACAATTTTTTTCTTTCAGGTGATTCGGAAAATTTTCGGAAAAATTTGTGTTCAGTTTATAGTTCAATGTGAACTGAGAATATTTTTCCTCTATTCAATTTCAGGAAAAAAATTATTAGGGAATGCACAAAAAGACTGCAAACATCCAAAAGTTTGGTTAATTTGATAACAAAACATATAGAACCTGCATACAGTCACCCAATTTCGCTAGAATTTACTTATTATTTATAATAGACCTTGAGGTGCACTCCGAAAATAGCCGAAAGGCGGGAATATTTCGTACGCTGCAAATAACTTTTCGTAAATTGGTAAATTTTTTCGTATAGATAAATATTTACAAAAAAAAATTAGTTACCAAGCTTATAAATTACTATATTTACTGATAAAATACATAGGTGAGAAGGTTTATAAATTGCTTTATTTACCTATAAAATAAATGAGTGAGCAAGCTTTTAAATTACTGTATTTACTTATAAAATAAATGAGGGGGCAAGCTTATAAATTATTATATTTACCTATAAAATAAATGAGTGAACAAGCTTGTAAATTACTGTATTTACCTATAAAATAAATGAGTGAGCAAGCTTATGAATTACTGTATGTACCTATAAAATAAATGAGTGAGCAAGCTAATGAATTACTGTATTTACCTATAAAATAAATGAGTGAGCAAGCTTATAAATTGCTTTATTTACCTATAAAATAAATGAGTGAGCTAGCTCATAAATTACTGTATTTACTTATAAAATAAATGAGTGGGCAAAATTGTAAATTACTGTATTTACCTATAAAATAAATCAGTGAGCAAGCTTATGGATTACTGTATTTACTTATAAAATAAATGAGTGAGTCCTGAAATCATGAAACCAGTTTTGTTCGGATCAAGTAAAGCAGGTTGTGTAATTTTACCACATTTAGTTTCGTTCAAAGCTATTTACATTTCAAGAAATACCGACGTTTTCAGAATGAAATTGAAAATTTTTGCACTATCAGTATAGATAAATCTAGAAAATATGAATTACATTCTTCTATGTTGGTAAAAAGTAGAAAAATGAATAAAATTAGTTCACGAATATTCAATACTATGTAAAGTCATTGTCTCGGGCAATACACATCTATGCATCTCTCTTGTATCATGAAAATTATTTATGACAAGCGAAGGAATTTTAATTCGACCAATTTTTGTGATATGAAAATTTTTTGGATATTTTTATCATGAATATTTTTCATTATCCGAAAAAAATCTGAGGCATTCTATATTATGTCACGAAATGTATTTTGAACTGGAACTGAGTAATTAAATTTTAACTGGAAGTGACTAAATTAATCAAATATTTAACTGGAACTGAATAAAACTTAAACTTCATTTTGAACTTTACACAATTGTTTCTTGATTTATTGTATTACAAATAATTCTGTCACGATAGCATTACATAAATGAAAAATTTTCAGCAAAATCTACCACGAAGTCAAATAAACTGAAGCGATAAATTCAAATGCCACGGCTCACAGCATCAATAAAACTTAACTTACAACTAAATATTTGGTCTCAGGCAGCGCAACAAGTTATTTATTAAAGTTTTATTTCCTTCACCTCTACGAAATATTCCGAATATTGCATTAAATTTTTGTGATGAATAAGACTCGTGTCAGCGATGTCACTTGTAGTTCTGTCCCAGCGACACTAAAGCAACTGTCGTGTCTAATACCGTGTAATACCATGTCACTGTCATGATATAACACGGTACACGATGATTATATGTGGCATATTACCTATATATACCAGTGACACGATATAACACGGTATTAGAGTGTCATGGTATTACACGGTATTTGACAGTGACATGATATTACATGTAATACCATGTCACTGTCAAATACCGTGAAATACTATGCCACTGTCAGATACCGTGTAATACCATGTCACTGTCAAATACCGTGTAATACCATGTCACTGTCAAATACCGTGTAATACCATGGCACTGTCAGATACCGTGCAATCCCATGCAACTGTCAAATACCGTGTAATATCATGTCTCTGTCAAATACCGTGCAATACCATGTCACTGCCAGATACCGTGTAATACCATGCCACCGTCAGATACCGTGTACCATGCCAGAGTCAGATACCGTGTAATACCATGTCACTGTCAAACACCGTGTAATATCAAGCCAGAGACAGATACCGTGTAATACCATACCACCGTCAGATACCGTGTAATATCATGTCACTGTCAAATACCGTGTACCATGCCAGAGTCAGATACCGTGTTATATCATACCACTGTCAAATACCGTACAAGACCATGCCACCGTCTGATACCGTGTAATGTCATGTCACTGTCAAATACCGTAAATATTGTACAATATTCAAATATTGTAGAATATATGAAATGTTAACTTAGAGTAAAAATGTTATGCGCGTGTCACAAGTTGAAATTTTTCGGCATTTGTNTGTCAAATACTGTGCAATACCATGTCTCTGTCAAATACCGTGCAATACCATGTCTCTGTAAGATACCGCTGTCAGAAACCAAGCTATTCTCCCATAGTTGTGTTGAACTCTGAAATTAGATTTGGTTCATTATTTTTAACATGTATTTCGATTTCAGTATAAAAATTTGAATTTTTATTAATTTTCATGTTACCGATAATACATTCAAGCATTTTTTTATAGATCAAAATTTTAAAAACCTCTTTTATTTGTAGAGTTATCGTGAAAATACCTCGTGCATATTGATGATCACTGAATAATAAATATTCAAAATTTCAGTAGGTGTGCATAACTTTAAATTTTTTGAAATATTGAAGAATATTTGAAATATTGGCTTAAAATGAAAATTTTATGCGCGTGTCACAAGAAAAGTTTGAATTCTTTCGGCATTTGTAGATAAAATTATTCAGCAAAAAAAAAACATTACGTAAAAAAAGGTATTCATGATCAGGCGAAAATTCTTTACTTTATACTCTATTTTTAGACAAATACTTTATACTTTATTTATGGACAAACAATCACTAGAATTTATTGTTCTTCAGCTCTGTTTTATGGTAGCATATACACCTCACTGCAGCTGGCTGAGTTTCAAGATGACAATCGACGTTTTGTTTGCTCTGTTGTTTGCTCTGTTGTTTGCTCTGTTGTTTGCTCTGTTGTTTGCTTATTCGCTTTAGTTTATCCGTTTGTCTGTTGTTTGCTATGTTGTTTGCTCTGTTGTTTGCTTATTCGCTTTACGTCACTTCACTTTTAAACGGAACGACGCATTCACAACGACCACTTAGCGGTTTGCATTTCAATTTCATTCATTAAGTGATTATTATCATAATTTTTACCAATGATGATGATTATCAGTTATTATTATCATTTATTTAGTTATATATTATTACACAGTTTGTTACGTTTTTAATATTGATCCTTAATACTTTAACTCAATTTAAACTTTAACTACACCAAGTTTATCAAGTTACGAAATTTCGTTTCTGTTTATTTGGGTTCTTTTAACTTCACAGTTGCTTAATTTACACGCCACTCTTCACTGCGCACTAGAAGAGTATATCTATTTACACAATCAAATTCACATTTTATTAACCGTGAAAATTACCGCTGCAGTAGGTACCTACATTTCGCTGTCGGAGTATTAGAGGAGTATTAGTGGGGTGTTTGAGAAGCATTAACGGGGTGTTAGAGGAGTATTAGTGGGGTGTTTGAGAAGCATTAACGGGGTGTTAGAGGAGTATTAGTGGGGTGTTTGAGGAGCATTAACGGAGTATTAGAGGAGTATTAGTGGGGTGTTTGAGGAGCATTAACGGGGTATTCGAGGAGTATTAGTGGAGAATTAGAGGATTATTTGCGGAGTATTCGTGGAGAATTGGAGCAGTATTGCTGGAGTATAAGAAGAGTGTTATATGAATATCAGAGGAGTATTAGTGGAGTATAGGAGGAGTACAAGTCGAAATATTAGAGGATAACTAAAGAGTATTAGAAAAGTATTGCAGGAGTATTAGAGGAGTATTGGCAGAGTATTAGAGGAGTAATAATGGATAATTGATAAGTGCAAGTCGGAGTATTTGAGAACTAGAAGAGAATTGGAAAAGTACTAGTCGTAGTATTAGAGGAGTCTTAGAGTAGTATTGGTTGAGTATTCATGGAGAATTAGAGGAGTATTAGAGGACTAGAGGAGTATCCCTAGAACCATCAGAGAAGTATACTGATACCAAGTATTTGCACACCCTCGGTACCCGACGTGGTCACGTCTCGTGGTCGCGCCGAGCTACTGACTGCGCTTGGCACCGGCAGCGGCGAGCGATAGCTGCAGGCCTCGCGAGACAAAACTGTGCGATGGTCTCTTTGGCGAGTAGAATGTCTCGCGAGATTCAGTCATTAACTGTGCCGTTACAGCTCTTACTGTGTGATGGTCTCTTTGGCGAGTAGAATGTCTCGCGAGATTCAGTCATTTTAACTGTGCCGTTATAGCTCTTACTATGCGATGGTCTCTTTGGCGAGTAGAATGTCTCGCGAGATTCAGTCATTATCAGCGCCGTTACAGCTCTTTTTCCGCGATACTTAGGATTTTTCCGAGGTTTTTGCACTCTATGACTTACGGATATACAAATTGTTCTGTAGCAAATGCCGAAGATGACTTACGCATACACAAATAATTGTTCTGTAGCAAGTGCCAAAAATAAATTCAGTTAATGGTTTCGCATTAACCGGCATCACTTGCAGCCGTTACTGTTCTTTTTCCGCGATACTAAACATTTTTTCGAGGTTTTTGCACTCTATGACTTACGGATATACAATTTGTTCTGTAGCAAGTGCCGAGGAGTAATTTAATAAATTTTTTT